CCTCTCCCTCTTGTATCCCATAAATGCGCAGGTTATTACGCCTCGCTCTTGACTCAAGGTCCTCACACTTAGCTGAAAGTTTGGCTTCTCTTCCTAGCAAATAGCGCATCGCACGATCATGACGGACTAGTTGGTCTTCCGCGTCGCACATTCTCTGGTTGGTGTCGCCAATTTGCTGCTCAAGATTAGCCGTTCTCTCGAGTACATCTTTCAGGGACGTTTCCACCCTAGACAGCGTAGCTTTAGTGTTGTTAGAAGAGTCGTTGTGTTCCTGTCTCAAAGTGTTGTAACTCCGCGAGCACCTTCGCCATTTTGTCTTCGTTCACATCCATGGCCGCTTCAGCATGTTGACGTATTTCTTCTTTTTTTGTAGATTTACTCTTCTTGTCAGCTTCTTTTTTAAGTGTAGACATAATCGATTTTGTTTGACGATACTTTATAATGAGATATGGGTTACAAAATAGGGTTTTGGCTAGTTTTCAGGGCCTTTCCCCAGAGCAGTAAAATCAGGCTGCTTCTTCGCTCGTGGCGTCACCGGAAGTCCCCTCTCCTTTTTATATACAGTCTATGCGACGGCACTGCAGCTGACGACATGGAGTCTGATAACACCAAACAACGACCTGCCTCCAGCACAACACACACTCCAACACAAACTCCACATAAATATAAAAAACAAAACAAAACAAAAAAATTATATGCTGAAGCTTGTCAGGCCAAACGTGAATCGGATCGACTTAGGACGAAAACACGGATCAACATCGGCAGAGCGTTTGAATTATGGAGAGACCTCCCCTATTTTTATTGTGATAAATTACAAGTTTTCAGATATGCTGAAATAATGGTAAACTGTAATGAAATAGCAAGGTAAACTACAACATATATGAGACATGAAATAAATACAAAAGACTGTTCCAGGATAACAAAAAGTAGGTGCTTTAGGATGTAACTTTTATTTTATGTACTAGATCTACTGTCTAACGTCACTCATCCCACTACTATCATATTGTTTATAATACACATTTCCAGACACGTTCAGTCCAGTAATGTTACTTCCTACGATCTTACTGTTTCACGGAAATTGTTCAGTCTAGTTCACTAACCGTTTTCGTTATCATATTATGCACTCACCTATGTTGACATTGCTGATTGTGAAAGATACACGAATAGTTAGTGAAATGCCTTATGCTAGATAACACCACAAATGTAACGTTATCATGGTACGAGCATGGAGCATTAGTTCCACGTCAAGCTGATAAAAGTAGCCTATTATTGTAAGGTTTGTAACAACATTAGGTATTACATTAAATTAGTTCAAATGATATATAGGGAATTTTAATAATTAATCAGGAATATGATTAACATATATCACAGATTACAGTTACATTAAATCATCAAGCTGCAAATAGACCGATTGTATACATGAATGATCACCACAATGAGTTATGGTTTGTCATTAATATATCAATAGTCTCATTACAGATCGATTATATGAGATGACTTTAAAGGAATTAATTTAGTTATCAAATGATCGGTCTGTCCAGCAAACGGCCGTAAGATTAACTTATCAATTTTCAACAACAATTATCTCTTTCTTATAATTCACAAAAAAGCTATTTTCTGGCCATGAAAAATCACCTTCTTGTTATTATAAAATTTAGGTTACTGAAATAGTAACGAATTGTAAAGCTTTGTAGCTAGATCAAACATTTCATTGACTTTGTACAAATGAGCATTTTAGACAGAAGCAATCAAGAATATGGTTTTAATAAAATGAAACTACGGATACAGAATTCTACATTTAAACCTGGGATACATGTATGTACAGTAAACAGTAAAACTAACGAGACAAATGAATAACAACGGGAGTGAGAGAGAGAGATTGAGTGAGAGGGAGAGAGAGTGAGAGGGAGAGAGAGCGAGAGAGTAAGAGGATAAGAAAGTGAAACTAATGGCGCTTTTCCACTACACAGTACCAGCTCGCCTCGCCTCGGCTCGGCTCGGCTCGACTCGACTCGCCTTTGTTTGGTTTTCCACTGTGTAAAAGTTGTACCTGTACCTGCTTTCGGGTACTTTTTTTCGTACCACCTCCGGCGAGGTTCTAAGCGAGCTGAGGCGAGCTAAGCCGATACTAAAATGTGACGTGAAAACAATGCCGACTGCTGATTGGTCACAGAGAATCTGCGTCATCATTGCACGCGCCAGATGGAGTATCCAGAATAACCCCGCCATTTTTAAATAGTTTGGCCAGAGATAGTTACTAAACTTACTACTATTATTATGGCAACTCGGAAGAATACGCCGTGGTCAAACGAGGAGGTGCAGACATTCCTTTGTTTGGTTGCCGAAGAGAGGATCCAGCGAGAGCTTGATGGGGCAACGAGGAACGAAATGCGTCGCTATGACGACCGGGTACTATTTGTGGCGGTACTTTCTGCAATGGAAAACGGAGCGAAAAGCGAGCCGAGGCGAGCCAAGGCGAGTCGAGTCGAGTCGAGTCGAGTCGAGCTGGTACTGGTAATGGAAAAGCGCCATAAAGGTCAGGATTAGAGATTGCAGTACGGCATAAACCACAGACAAAATGAACCTTGAGAGACACAAAGATCAAATCCCCTGAATGGGGTAAACAGATCTTAAAGCATTTAGATCGATAGGAGTTACGATACTTGCATGATTCTTCGAGTGGCTGAGAACGAAAGCGTGTGTGTGTGTCTCTGTCCTCGTGTCACGCGTTCACGTGGTCTTTCAGAGCGAGGGAGCGCGTTAGTTTGAATGTGCTTTGAGGTGCAGTTGCTGGTTGGTTCAAAGAGTCTCTTTAAAGTTGAAGTTGCCGATTACGTTGATTTCACTGAAACTGAACGTAGGAAAGTCCGAAGACGAAAATAAAGAAAGATTAAAGAAAAAGGAGAAACATGGCGTAAAGCTCCCTAAGGAGCCATGGAACTGGAAACCTCTCACAGGGAAAAAGCTCTCTATAGGAACTTCCTGGGGTCAGTCTTTTATGGAAAAACTGGGTTCACGCCTCTGTTTGCGCGAGCCACCCATGACCGTCCTAGAATCTGAAGCGGACAAGGTTTTCTTTGTCCTGTGGGGGATGCCCACTGGACTGAGGAGATTGTGTTGAGCCGTTCGGCTCCAGCACTATGAAATGTGTAAAAGAATGCACATTACTGCATTCTGCTATCGGAATTCGGCTCCGTTAGATTGAGAGAATTACAGAGATATCAAACACGTCACATGAAGATTATAGGAATACAGAGTTACATAAGATATGCATTTTATAAGCATTTAGTTCCTTCAAAGCAAGTTTGTTACTTCGAACAAACGTCATACACGCAGTGAATATAAACTGAGAAACACACAGGAGTATAGGAAACATTGACACGCTTATATTCTAAGTGAATGCCAGGGAGATCCCAGTCATAGTGGCGTCCCCCTGCTGGTCAACATGCCCCAAGGGGGTCGTACACAGAATGCTCTTTGTTTACTCACGAAGAACTGAGCTTTGTTTGCAAATCAGGCTTTGCTAATTCCGAACATCTGCCGGATACCCTATCAATGTCGTTACAGGTTGCAGTGGGAGTGTACATGAGTTTCCAGCATGTTGTGTGATGCTTTCTCCGGTGTGTTGAAAGTCTCAGTGTGGCCGGTACCATGAGTGCTCGCTCTTTTGTTCGAGAACGCGCAAGAGAACGAGCGCTCTTGTAAAAATTGGTTGCAATCTGAAACATCACCGATAGAGGCCGCTAAAAAATACATATAGCCCCTTTAATCATTTTCATTGTACATATAGGAGGCATTTGTGAAACAATATCAACAATAGTCTATTAAATATCATACAAACAACTTGTTTTTAGTCTCGCTGTTTAGAGGTGATGCATTGAGAACATATTGAAGACTTTATTGGATTGAAATCACTCTCTGCACATTGTGTAAATGTGAGAAATAAAAATAACCAACAACTTGTGATTTATTTAACTGGCTAAATAGATTTAATTTAGCTTACAATAGCTCAAGAGGTTTAACATTGTATTCAGCATTGTTAATGAACCAGTAGTAGTAAACAATTATTCTTTTGACTAAAAATGGCACCAGTTGTTTTTTATGTATATTTGAAGAGGCGATTCCTCTCATAATATGAACTCGACAAACACATCACTGAGAGAAGATGAAATTGCTTGAATGTGTTCTGTGTCTGTGATCATTCAGCAGTGAAACTTTTCCACCTGCTAGTTATGAAATAAGGTTTACGGTCATTTAGGCTCTTACATTATATGGTTATATGCTATATTTTGACAAACAATTTAGTCCAAAAAAGTAATTAACTTGTTTTGAGCTTGAGTTATAACTTGTAGCCTATAAAATTAATTCAAAATTCTGAGTCCAGAAGGTGAATACAATTACAATTCAATTCAATTACAAGTTTAAAACTTTATCCCAAATCAAATATATTTGGGGAAATAAATAGTGTTTGTATAATCTTAAACAAGATAATGGATTTTATATTGGTTGTTTTGTATCTAATGAAGTTTAGATAGTTTATAGATTGTTTTCCGCCAGTAGAGGCGCTCGAGCAACCGAAGCAATGACACACATCCGAGTCTAGGAGAAGAAGAGAAGTGAGCGAGGGAAGGGAACATAAACATGAGAAGTGGAACACAGCCGTTCATTCAGCTCTAAATCTGCTGTTTTACAGACTGTGAGTACATTCATTTTATCATTTATTAGGAGAAATCGAAACCCGAACGACTAAACGAGTCAGTTTATAGTTAATCACTCAGAAATGAATCGAAATGAATCGACTGATGTTGTTCATTACGCTCGTGAAACAAACTTGTTACTGACTGTTTTTCACATTACAATTTTTGAAGATTGAGTTGTTTTTATTTTTATTTAATGAAGCCTGATAAACAGTTTTAATGCATGTAAATGTTATCTAATGTAAGAGCAACATAAAAACCAGCTAGAGTTGAATTGTTATAGTTTGATCAAAACACTTAAAGCTGGATAATCTCGAGTGATTGTAAGTGTGATGATCATCTGCTAAATGAGCAACAACGACCACAATTCACTCCTTCAGTCAGTGAAGCTCCCACAGCCGTTCATGAGAGTTTAAATGCTGGGGAATATTCCCATCTTCCCACAGGAGAAGAAGAAGCAAGCAGGAGGAATTACTCCAGGAGAAACTACGGACATACTATTGTAAAGATGGAGATTAAGGAAGAACCCTGCAGAATAAAAGATGAAGATACAGAGGAACAAATAGGTTGGTGTTTTCCTTCATTCTCTTTAATTTATGTGGAACTTAAAAGACCAATTCACACAGACAGACGCAGATCCACGCAGAGAGTCACCAGATTACGGATGTCACCATACCAAAAACTAGTAGTCTGTAGTACTGATACCACCATGGTAAAAAAAAAGAACAACATACTTACAATACTTAAATATTAACTCATTTATATGTTTTTATATATGTATACATATTTTTAAAAGAAATGACAATAAACTCACCAAAATGTTTGGTCACTCATTCAGTGTATTTGTTTTTTTATTAGGTAATTTGTTGCAATAATCAGTAATAAAACAACGATTAAACACATTGGAAGCAGTAGCATAAATAAAAACAATAGAATAAAGATAATTAAGCAATGCTGTATATTTTCTTCAGGTATATAGGTCTCACAGTAGTATTCAAGTAAAAATACCACATAAATTGAATGTCAAATATTAAATTACTCTGCATAATCATAACTGTATCATTTAAATATTAATCCTTATTTAAGCTATTAATCCTTATCTAAGATATTCTTTGGTTGTTTGATTATCATTATTAACACAGGCAGCCAATAGACAGCAGTTTTTAAAGGCTGCTGTCACTTAAGACCTAATGAATGGGGACGTGCTTTTACACATGCTGGTCACATTCACATAATTGACACAAATATTCACCAAGATGGGCATTTTGACATAACTATGTGTGTATTTGAACGTTTATGTGTAATAAGCCACGAAAATCTGACACTCGTGAGAGACGGCTATGTGTGTGGGCGTTGGTTGAGCACTGACTGAAGAGGGCGTGCGAGTACTTTAAGTTTATAGTTTAAAATCGCTTGAAGTTATAAATTGGCCTGATATAAAGCACTAAAGTCTTGTATTGTACCGTGCAGCTTGCTTGCAGAGCCAAATCAATGTGAATAAATGGATGTGAAGCCATTTGCGCATTTTGAGAGGGCAAAAGAGAAGACTTGACGAGCCGCTTGCGCTGGTTTCTGTGACTAAAACTGCGATCAAACCTTCTGTAATAATTCCAAACATGAATCTCGTGAATTAAAAACATGAATTAATAAATGCACATACACAGTTCTATGTGATAATATTTTTATTTTTTTTGAAAACCTGTAGTATTTTCGAATTACCGCGCTTTACACCCTCATATCCCCCTGAGACGAGAGATTTATGAATTCAAAAATAATTTCACATTTCTTCTACATAAATGACCCATTTTAAATACACATTCATCTTTCCAGAGGTGAAGTATCCCTTTAAGGAAGAACCCTGCAGAATAAAAGATGAAGATACAGAGGAACAAATAGGTTGGTGTTTTCCTTCATTCTCTTTAATGACTGATGAGGAACATTAAGATGAAAACTCACATATCCTCTTGAGATCCAGGCTTCGACTTTTGAGTCTGGTTTTCCTGTAAAGAGCACATTCAGGGCTTTTCAGAGATATCACATGTTTAGGTTTCACCATTACAACTCCTTCTCTTTGGCTTTAAAATCGATCGACTGAATGATCAAATTTATAAACCCCAGTCAGCTGAAGATTGTGCGTACATGCGTCTCCTCCCAGAAATAACCATATATGAATCTTACAACGCCTCGTTTTACAATGCGTAGCATCATCTGCATTTCATTTCCAAGCATATTCTCATCCATGTGATAACATGTTTAATGATACAAGACAGTACAATATGAGATACGGACTATGTGCCGTCACATTACATAACTAAAATTCTTTCAGTATCCTTGTCTTGTTTCGCAATAAATAAATAAAAATTAATACATTTCAGAGAAAGTTTTCAGAGAAGAGTTATTTTTTATTAATTAAAAGGGAATTAAAGGGATACTCCACCGTTTTTTCATATTAAACTGTTATTCCCTTAACTAAGAGGAGTTGATGCATACCTCTCTCGTCTCAGTGCGTACACTCAATCGCTCTGGCGCGCGAGACACTTTGATAGCACTTAGCTTAGCCCAGTTCATTCATTAGGATCCAAGCAGAGAAGCGACCAAACACCTCCACGTTTCCCTATTTAAATACAGTTACACGAGTAGTGTGACTCGACCAAGAATGGTGACACAAAATAAAGCGTTGCGCTTTTCTAAGCGTGTAAAGTGGATAACTATAATGTATGGCGGAATAATAGCAAATGCTTGGGAGCACTTCGACTCGGCGCAGGATTATCATCATATCATCACTCCGGAGAGGGAGAGGACTTTTCAGGAGTGATGATATGATGATAATCCTGCGCCGAGTCGAAGTTCTCCCAAGCACTTGCTATGGTATTCCGCCATACATTATAGTTGTAGTTGTAGTTACACTACTCGTGTAACTGTATTTAAATAGGGAAACGTGGAGGTGTTTGGTCGCTGCTCTGCTTGGATCCTAATGAAGAACTGGGCTAAGCTAAGTGCTAACAAAGTGTCTCGCGCGCCAGAGCGATTGAGTGTACGCACTGAGACGAGAGAGGTATGTATCAACTTAGTTAAGGGAATACATATTTTTATAAATATTAAGTGTGTCCGTACGGTGTGCACATTTACGCCTAGTTTATTTTTTATAAATCACCATGTGTGCGTGGAAAATTGCAGCGTTTATACATCTGGCCCCGGGACTTAGATGAAATATGAGATAATCTCATGAAAATGTTGGCAAGTTATTACTCATTATAACATTATAACTCATTAATTTAAAAATGTATTGGTAAATGAAAAAAGAATGCCTATACATGTCTAATGTCATTTTATTTTCTTAATAACCGAGTCCTGGTGTACAGACAAAATATGAATAAACTATCTTTAAAAAAAAAAATCTCCATTTGTTTCTTATGCTCCAAATAATCTACTGACAAAATAAACAACTAAAAAAACTAAAAAGTTCTGGTTCTCCGGAGGATATAACAATACATTTAAAACTAGATACTAGTAGACTTGGTAGTAAACTAGATTTGTGCCAAATTAAGAATGAACGTTATCTCTTCTTCTCATTTGTCCTTTTTTTAATTGAATTATGGGAATTTAATGTTGTTTTTAGACCCGATGGAAGTGAATGAAGACAAACAGCAACAATTTCAAAAACCTCATAATTTCACAAATGAAGATGGAAATGCAGTGATTTCACAGACTGAAGAGAATTTCACACAGAAACAAGCTGGAAAATCTGGAGTCAAAGGATTTTTCACCTGCTCTGAGTGTGGAATGTTTTACGTGCACAAATCAGACCTTAATAAACACATGAAATCTCACACTGGAGAAAATCTGTTCACATGCACTCAGTGTGGAAAGAGTTTCACATGTAAATCAACTCTTAAAAGACACACGAGAGAACACACTGGAGAAAGGCCTTATACATGCTCTCAGTGTGGAAAGAGTTTCGTTCATAAAGGACACCTTAAGATACACATGAGAGTTCACACTGGAGAAAAACCATTCACATGCTCTCAGTGTGGAAAGAGTTTCAGTCGCAAAGTTCACCTAAATGGTCACATGTGGATTCACACTGGAGAAAGGCCTTATACATGCTCTCAGTGTGGAAAGAGTTTCAGACAAAAAAGAAACCTAGAAGATCACATGAGGATTCACACTGGAGAAAGCCCTTATACATGCTCTCAGTGTGGAAAGAGTTTTACATGTAAATCAACTCTTAAAAGACACACGAGAGAACACACTGGAGAAAGGCCTTATACATGCTCTCAGTGTGGAAAGAGTTTCGTTCATAAAGGACACCTTAAGATACACATGAGAGTTCACACTGGAGAAAAACCGTTCACATGCTCTCAGTGTGGAAAGAGTTTCAGTCGCAAAGTTCACCTAGAAGATCACATGAGGATTCACACTGGAGAAAGGCCTTATACATGCTCTCAGTGTGGAAAGAGTTTCAGTCAAAAAAGAAACCTAGAAGATCACATGAGGATTCACACTGGAGAAAAACCGTTCTCATGCTCTCAGTGTGGAATGAGTTCCGCTTACAAAAACATTCTCAAAGAGCATCTGCTCTCTCACTCTGGAGGGAAGCCATTCAGCTGTGATCAGTGTGAGAAAACATTTGTTTATTTATCTAGCTTAAAAAAACACCTTAAAGTTCACACTGGTGTGAAGCCTCACGTTTGTTCTGTATGTGAAAAGAGTTTTTCGCGACTGGCGACTTTAAAAGTGCATGAGAGTATTCATACTGGTGTAAGACCTCATTTGTGCTCTGACTGTGGGAAGGCCTTTATTACATCAGGTGCATTAAAACAACACCAAAGAAATCACACTGGAGAGAAACCGCAGTGCTCTTCATGTGGGAGGAGTTTCACCCAATTATCTACACTACAGAAACATAAGAAAAAGCATTGCCCGAAGGTGTCTAAGTGAGCAAAGTTCAGATTCATGACTTGTAAATAATTTGATATTCAGATTAAGCAAAAGGTGGAATTACGTTTTAATAAGAGTTATTTAAAATTAGTATTGAAGTTTGATTGTTTGACAAGGGGAACCTTTAAGGAAGGTCAAAATGGTTGTGTATTGCATTCTAAAGGCCGGTTCACACCAAGGACGATAACTATAATGATAAAGATATAGTTCTAAAAATCTTTCTCATGTGATCGCAACAATGTGAAAATACTCCTGTGGGTGTCATCGCTTAAGCACTGCATGGTCATCTCATATCTCAGATATAGCACCAACAGATCCAGATCCAGGGACATACTACACCTGCAGCAACTACAACAGAGCCTGCAGCAACTACAACAGAGCCTGCCGCTCCAAAATCTGCAAACCAACCACAGAGACTCCTTGACGCATATTCCAGACGGATGCTAACAATGGTCATCTCAGACAGATGGAACAAAAATAATAATTCAGAAAACTGTTTTGCCATAAAACGATATGATTTATGAAAAAATGTGTTTTGTTTCTTTGTGTAGTTTAAAGGAGAACTCCGGCGCAAAATGAACCTTTGGTCTAATAAAACATTGGTACCTAGTCAACCGTTCTCTGAGATTTGTTTTCATGATAATCGAATGTAAAGAGTTTTATCTCTAAAAACTGTTTAGCGTATAACTAATCAAACCACGAACAATGTGCTAAGTGAGCTGAACTGTATGAATGGCGTTCGTGGTTTGATTAGTCGAGACTGTTTTCCAAAGATGGCTCCTGTCTGTATACACGAAGTGGACTGTCTTTATCTTTATCTTCTTATTAAACGGTCTGTACACTTACAAAGTTCTCAATGCTTCGTTTTGCATGTAGGGACCCTCATTATGTTACTGTGTTCGTGTGGGGCTATTTTGAGCCTTGTTAGTGGTATAAACTAGTGATTTCTTTTTACTTATTATATGCCCCCATTACTAGCGTTATACGCTAAACAGTTTTTAGAGATAAAACTCTTTACATTCGATTATCATGAAAACAAATCTCAGAGAATGGTTGACTAGGTACCAATGTTTTATTAGACCAAAGGTTCATTTTGCGCCGGAGTTCTCCTTTAAAGGTGCTATATGTAACTTTTCTTCTAAAATGAATCCTTTTTTTATTGCCTGTGTGTGAAGGGGTTGTAATCACACATTACAATGATCCACTTGTCGGGTTCTGCTATTACCTCTGAAGGCCAGTATTCCTATTTCTGTGTGAAGGCTCCGGGTCGGATTTTCTGCGGAATCCATCGGATGTGACGTGCATGCGCGCTCCCGAGCCTCTCTCCTTTTTCTTTTCTTTTTTTTTACTTGTTTTTATTGAGATCAAAAAGTGCAATTCACAACATACAAATGCAATATCCTGGATGTTACAATATACATGGATACATCCCTATGTCTATCACTCCCCTAAAGCCTTTATATAGTCCATAGAGAAAAAGGAAATGGATAGATATAGCCAGCATAAGCTTCACAGTATAGACAAGGTGTATGTACATTTAACATAGGTATCATGGAATATACATTTGGATGGGGGACCACTGGTCCATAAATAAATTCGTTTTCATCTGCAATGTTGCTGTAATTTGTTCCATATAGTACACTTCCTTCACCTTATTCTTCCATTGAGAGATTGTGGGGGGGCTGCGGTCTGTAATCTACAGTCAGGAGACTGTAATCTTTTTTTTTTTTTGCAAGTACAAGCAGGATTTTCAAGAGATGAATATGATAATTAGTCCTGATTTTGTTCTCAAAAATTCCCAGAATAATAAAGGATGGGTCCAGTGGAATCTTAATACGCAAACACTTATCAATTTCATCTTGTATGTCTTTCCAATAGTTCAATAATTTTGGACAATCCCAAAATATATGAGTGTGATCTCCCACAAGACCACAGCCCCTCCAACATTTGTCTGAAGTCCCACCAAACTTAGATGTGATAAAAGGGGTCCTAAATAACCTTACTTTTGTTTTCCACTCAAATTCTCTCAACATTGGACTACTTGATATTTTATGCCCCTCTTGAAACATTTGTTCCCATTCCTCATCTGTAATTATTATATTCATTTCTAGTTCCCATTTCTCCTTTATGACTTTTGTATCCTCAGCAGCTTCTCTTTGTAATATTTTATAAAAGTGAGAGATATACACTCACCTAAAGGATTATTAGGAACACCTGTTCAATTTCTCATTAATGCAATTATCTAATCACATGGCAGTTGCTTCAATGCATTTAGGGGTGTGGTCCTGGTCAAGACAATCTCCTGGGGCCTCATGTACAAAGACTTGCGTTGAATTCATACTAAAACATTGCGTACGGACAAAGCTGTAAATGTGCGTACGCACAAAAAAAAGCAGATGTATGAATCTCTGCTTACGAAGGATCCCACGCATATTCTCTTTGTACATCCCAATTAACGTAAAATTGAGCGCACATGCACGAGCACAACGCCCCACCCAGTCTCGTCCCCCAATTAAATTAATTTAAATATGGTAATTAGTCCAATTTGGCAAAAGAAACCTGCAAGAACATGGCTAAAGCAAGCAAGAAACGAAATTTCACTGAAAATGTCTTCTATGTGAATATATATAGTACAGTGTAATTTATTCCTGTGATCAAAGCTGAATTTTCAGCATCATTTCTCCATTCTTCAGTGTCACATGATCCTTCAGAAATCATTCTAATATGATGATTTGATGATCAAGAAACATTTTTGAGTATTATCAGTGTTGAAAGCAGGTGTGCTTCTGCTTCATATTTTCGTGGAAACCGTGATAAAGTATTTTCAGGATTCTTTAATGAATAAAAATTTAATTCAAACAGATATAGAAATCTTATAATCTTTTGTAACATTATAAATGCATTTACTCTCACTTTTAAACACATTCAATGTGTCCTTGCTGAATAAAAATATTACTTTCTTTTTTTATCTTTACTGACCGAATTAATGAAGTTTATTTTTTATTCCTAGTTAAGCCAACGCTGCCATTGCTAGACGGGTTGTATCAATTTGGACATGCTTTATATAGCCGTTCTTACTTAATTGCATAATATAATATTTGAATAAAACTCGTGTGACAATATGTCAAATAATTTATCAATTACAAATTATAAGCAATATCTGACAGCTGGTGGTGCGATAGAACAATTCGTAATGTAATGTTTGCCACTTCACTTTATTGCCTCTATGAGTCGCCAACGGACAAAAATCACGACAAATATACGTACGCCAGACATGAAGTTTACTTGGAGGAACGCACATTCTTACGTTAATTTCACTGTTAGTACATCTGGCCGTGAACGTGAAAGCTGACGTACGCCGTGTTTTTGTGCGTACGCAGTGTTAATACATGAGGCCCCTGAACTCCAAACTGAATGTCAGAATGGGAAAGAAAGGTGATTTAAGCAATTTTGAGCGTGGCATGGTTGTTGGTGCCAGACGGGCCGGTCTGAGTATTTCACAATCTGCTCAGTTACTGGGATTTTCACGCACAACCATTTCTAGGGTTTACAAAGAATGGTGTGAAAAGGGAAAAACATCCAGTATGCGGCAGTCCTGTGGGCGAAAATGCCTTGTTGATGCTAGAGGTCAGAGGAGAATGGGCCGACTGATTCAAGCTGATAGAAGAGCAACTTTGACTGAAATAACCACTCGTTACAACCGAGGTATGCAGCAAAGCATTTGTGAAGCCACAACACGCACAACCTTGAGGCGGATGGGCTACAACAGCAGAAGACCCCACCGGGTACCACTCATCTCCACTACAAATAGGAAAAAGAGGCTACAATTTGCAAGAGCTCACCAAAATTGGACAGTTGAAGACTGGAAAAATGTTGCCTGGTCTGATGAGTCTCGATTTCTGTTGAGACATTCAGATGGTAGAGTCAGAATTTGGCGTAAACAGAATGAGAACATGGATCCATCATGCCTTGTTACCACTGTGCAGGCTGCTGGTGGTGGTGTAATGGTGTGGGGGATGTTTTCTTGGCACACTTTAGGCCCCTTAGTGCCAATTGGGCATCGTTTAAATTCCACGGTCTACCTGAGCATTGTTTCTGACCATGTCCATCCCTTTATGGCCACCATGTACCCATCCTCTGATGGCTACTTCCAGCAGGATAATGCACCATGTCACAAAGCTCGAATAATTTCAAATTGGTTTCTTGGACATGACAATGAGTTCACTGTACTAAAATGGCCCCCACAGTCACCAGATCTCAACCCAATAGAGCATCTTTGGGATGTGGTGGAACGGGAGCTTCGTGCCCTGGATGTGCATCCCACAAATCTCCATCAACTGCAAGATGCTATCCTATCAATATGGGCCAACATTTCTAAAGAATGCTTTCAGCACCTTGTTGAATCAATGCCACGTAGAATTAAGGCAGTTCTGAAGGCGAAAGGGGGTCAAACACAGTATTAGTATGGTGTTCCTAATAATCCTTTAGGTGAGTGTATTTAGTAGTTATTGTCCCTTTTGTTACTGATAGAAACAATTGCTCAATGTCAGAAGGTGGCTTTTGTAAAGTATGCCAGTCCTTATGTTTATGTAAATAGTGTCTCAATTGTAAATATTTGAACAGGTCCTGGTTTAGGAGGTCATACATATGTTGTAGCTGCTGGAAAGACACTAGACCTCCGTCCTCAAACATTTGACCCAACAGAATCAACCCTTTTTCCGTCCATGTGTCTTGGTTCACAAAATGGAAGAGTATCAAGAAATATATTTTGACAGTTCCCTTGTTCCATCTTGTACCAGATTGCCTCTTCATCCCGGCAAACCCAAGTGACCATTGATCTAAGTCGTGGGTAGCCCAGTAGTAGTTTTTTAAATTTGGTATATTCAATCCGCCAAGCTCTTTAGGGCACTAAAGAGATTTCAATTGAATTCTCGGACGTTTGTTTTGCCAAATACATTTTGAGAGCCATTTGTTTAATGTAGTGAATGTGGGCATGGGGA